TTTCGAGAAAGTAATTTACATTAATTTTAAAAAGTACATATTACAATAATATGTGGATATAAAAAAAAATATTTTATTTAAAACATTTTGGTGTTTGAAACATAAAATAAAACTAGCAAAGACTGTATTAAGGGTATTGAAAAATGTATACAATTTTAAAGGTGAGGTATTTTTCATTCTTTAAGCATAAATTTTTTGCTAAAATCTATATTTTTGTAGTTCAACAGCTTAGAATTTTATAAAACAAATTCATAATCAAAATCGCTGTTGTTAGTTATCGAAAAATAACCATGATGTGACTTTTGCGTAGATGTCGCTAAACTATACAAATTGCTATTATCGATCATACTAGGAATGTTTCTTTTATGCGGAAGTGTCCCATTTTTCGATCTGTATGGAACTGTCGTGTGTCGAAATACTATTAGAGCACTGTCAAGCGAGCTTCTAAATGTAAACTAAAAACACCCCATCTGGTGACCGAAGCTTCGGAGCAGTGTTTCACTTCTAATGCCGGTTTGGCCATTCCTTCCTTTCTTACCTTTATGGTTAAAATGGAGTAGCTCAGCAACACGCTAGCGGATTAGAATGGGAGGCAAGTGTGGTTTCATCGTTTTTCCTATGTAATGTTAATACGAAACAAACTTCCCTAAAAAATCTTTAACAAAGGCTTAGTTTGATTACAGTTTTTTGCCTTTAACAAAGGTTTAGTTTGATTTATTTGATTATGGCAAAGCACACAACAGCTATTTGTCTGAGGTAGGGGTCTTCAACATGTGGCCCCACATTTGAATTTTAAGAAATTTTGATTTCAAGAAAAATTGTCTTGTCAGCTTTTTGTCGAGGAAAAAATTTTTCTCCTCTTATTCTTGATATTTAAAACTTTTTATTGACATGCCTGATACTATCGAGATAAAATTTTCTGAAAATGATGAATTTTTCAAAAATAAATTTGACTACGCATAAAATCTCAATTCCATAAAAAGGGCAGATTCTTATCTCTAACAGGTTCAGATGTCAGTCTTTTGTCAATACTTTGTCAAAGATGAGCTTGAGAGTACCGCAATTACAGAGGGGAGGGAGAATAAATTAACAGAATTCTATTTCTCCTAATGTAGCAATTAGTTGTAAAAGGGAATGGTGATGGCAAACATCCTGTTTGATTTGGTGATAAGCAGATTTTCTGCAGTTGATTTTAAGCTTGGTTACTCACGCTTATTCCACATTCTAAAATTCAGAAGCATTTATGGTCTTTGAATGAGTACAGAATGGCAAACCGTGATAACTAAAAAAGAAAAGTTGAAGGAAAAGTGCGGTTGTTTCAAGAAAAGTGGCCAGCAGCAACGACAGTGTAGCTGTAATGAAGGAATACAACATTAAGAGATATTATGATACTAAGCAAAGTGAGAAATATTCTTCATTGTAAGTTTATTTTCGGAGTGATAAGGTGAGTGAATTAAAATCAAAACTAAATTTTGAACAGTCTTTCTTCACCACAGTGAATAAAGAATCTGAAAATAGTATTCATGTCAGTTACATGATAGCAGAAAAAATTGCTAAGAGTTGGAAAACCTTTTGCTGATAGAGAATTTGTAAAAGAATATTTTTTACGCAGTTGACGTGCTTTGTACATCACAGACAAATTGAATATTAGCTTGTCTGGTGAGACAGTAGCGAGACGCATAGAGGATCTCATAACAGATATATTCAGTAAATTAAAATTCAAATACAAAAGATTCGAGTTTTATTCTGTAGTGATAGATGAATCAACAGATACTGCACAAGTAGCCATTTTTATTCATAGCGTTGATAGAGATTTCAAAATTCTAAAGGGATTAGCAGTCGTTGTATTTAAAGATACAACATGAGGAACAGATTTGTATTCGAGTATGCCACAAACTTAGGATAAATGTGAGTTATATATCTGCTATAACCAGGGATAGTGCTAAATCTATGACTGGAGAGAAAATAGGAGTAACAACATTACTCAAATCTCATGTAAAGGTAAGTGGAAATAATACTGTGATGACTTTCAAATGAATCATTCACCAAGAAAATTTGTGCAAGAAGTCCTTCTCAAACTTTGAACAGGTGATGAATGTTGCTGTAAAAGTGATTAATTTAATTCGTTCTAAAGGGCTTAATCACAGGCAATTTCAACAGACCTTGAGTGATTTGGAGGTTGAATATGGCGAGGATGTGTATTATGCGGAACTACGTTGATTGAGCTGGAGAAAGATGCTTCAGCGCCTGTTTATTTATTTATTTTTTTTGAAAAGCTAAGTTCAAGAATTCATGGAATCTAAAGAGAAATCTATTCACGAGTTCAGTGTTAATAAATGTTTGAGAGACTTTGAATTTATTGTTGATATTACAGGTCATCTCAATGATTTGAAGCACCGCGTACTGGGAAAAGATCTACTTGTTTATGATCTTTATTATTTTGTGATAGCTTTTGAGACAAAATTAATCCTGTGGGAAAGTCAGTTGCTAAATAAGAATTCCACTCACTTTCCAAAATTGATGTAGTGTATGAAGAACTCTACAACATGGAATTCAAATAGTTATGTACAAGACATTTCAAATTTGAAAGAGGAATTCAAAAGCAGATTTTCCGATTTTCATGAAAATGAAATTTTCTGAAAGTGTTCTGCTTGCCATTTTCAGTAGACATTGGAAGTGTTCCACCTGAATTTCAATTAGAGATTTGCAGTGTGACTCTGTATAGTAAAATGCAAGTTTTTTTAAATTCCTTCATTAATTAATTTTTGATTGGAAGTACGTGATTGAAGATGAGTATCCAGGAATTCGTAATCATGCACTCTTCATGTCTTCTATCTTTGGCAGCACCTACACATGTGAACAGCTTTTTAGTAAAATGAAAATCCTAAAATCAAAAACAAGAACATGGCTGACACATTTGAAGGAAACTTTACGAATTGCAACAAAACAGATTAAACCGGATATTGAAGCTTTAATCAAGCAAAAATAATGTCGAATTTCACATTAAAACACAATATAAATGAAAGCTTTTATGCTAGCAAAATCGACTACAGCTTATGGTGATACAACTAAGCAGGAACAGTCAAGTCAAATTAAAATTAAAAATGTAGACTAATAGGTCAGGCCGGTTATACAGGCAGTGCAGCAGAATTTTTAGAATTTATTGACGCACAGAGCAACAAAATCCAGAAATGGCAAAATTTTTATAATTTAGTACAGGAGCAGAATTTAGGACCCACAGAGATTTCATCTGATGGGAAAGTGACTAGCGCCAGTCTTGTATATGATGCATTGAGACATATTAGATGAATCTTTTAAATTGTCAGTTTTCAATTTCTTTATTAATGGGAAAGTTCCTTTTTACAGATACCTGTCTATGTTATAAGATCAGAAGCATTTTGATATTTTTCATGTTTGTGTCAAGTAAAAAGAAGAGAAAAGAAAGATAAACATATTAGGAAAAAGGCGTATAGGAACAAAGCTGAATATTCAAATATTATGTTTTCACTGTTCTTCCAAAAATTCTCCAAAAAGTAAGAAATTCATCGCAAACTTCCTGTAAAATACATCCATTACATGCTAATTCCTTGAAGACATTTTTTATTTTGTCACATTTTTTTGAAATCTTCTAGAATAGCTCTATAAATCATGGTTTCATATCCTTCTAAACTTTCCAAGGTGCAATGTCTAAAATATGAAAGAAAAATTATCCCTACTAATTGTGGAACAGTAAAAAGCCAGAACAATTAAAAAAAAAAAAAAAAAAAAAAAAAAAGAGGAAAAAAGTGTAAAATGAATTTTATAGAGGAAACTAATGTACATTCTTAGAATTCTGAGATAATTACATGATGGGGGGGGGAATTCTTACCATGAAAAAATAAAGATGGCGACATTTTAAAATAATTACTTACCTACTTTGCTTTTGCTAAGAATTGTTTAATAAATTGTGTTTTATAGCATTTATTACCTTACTTTTTAGATTGAAAATATTATAGTAATAAGTAGTCAAAATGGAAAGTGACATCACTTTATAATATGGCAGGGAAAAATAAAAATGTTTTATTTTAAAGTTATTTCTTAAAATATAATTTAAATAGCAAAAATAAAAATGTTTTACTTTAATGTTATTTCTTAAATATAATTTTAATACATTACCATTATTTTAATGAAATTTATTAAATTTATAATATTTTTAAAAAATCATCGAAAAATTCACCGATGTCTGAATTAAAATTTTTGTACAGAAACTGATCTTAAAATTGCCAAAATCTAGATAAGTCACCAAATTTAAATCTGTTTAATACACGAATTCACACCCCCAAAATGGAAAAACAGTTTAAGAGATCTTCATTAGAAAAAACGAAATAATTTCAAAATGCTTATGCTTCACTTCTTGCCCAAACTCCATATTGCACCGATATATATTTAACGATTTTGGTTGAAATTAAGGAGATTTAAGAACCAAAAAACAATTCCAAAAAATTTAAGGACTCTTAAGAACCGTAAGAACCCTGTTTATGCAAAGCACATTCATTCTTCAGTATTTTAATTACAGTGATTTCATTTCATATGTAAAAATTAAAAAAATATAGCTTAAAATTATAGATGCGCACTGGACAATACAGTATACAATATTTGAAATGGACTTGATCACATATTTAACTTTTCAATATATTTTCAAATATATAAATTTTAGCATTTAGAATTTCTTAAAAGCTGAAGATTTTCCAATTTCTGGTGTACTAAATTTTCCTTTTAATAATGAATACTGAGCATTATGTTTCTAAAACAGTTTGGTTAAAATATTTATACATTTTATTTTTAAATGTAATTATGCAAAGTACAAACATAAAACTACAATGTTATTATTGCAATCAACATGTTCAAAACAAAGGATTTTCTTATATTCTTTTTTTAAAGAGCTGTTAAATGCATAGTTTTACACATTTCACACAATAGACAAGTGAAACAAAAAATAGCAGTCATTAAAAAAATGCACATAAAGAACGACACATTAAAATTTTATTTTGAGTGTTGATTTACATTTTGGATCAAGTTAGAAATAAGTTGAAGACTCTATCTTTGCTAAGATCAGAATGGTAAATCATTTCAGATATTGCATTTCTTCCAAAAAATAACTTTTCTGATAATTTATCATATATTTGCCCTCTGACAAAAATACAATTTTCTTATTAAATTGTTAAAATATTCACTTTCTCAAATAAGTTCTTTACATATTTTTTTTTCTGAAACTGACAAATAAACAAACATGTAACATTTCAAACATGTCAGATTCACGATATTTCAGAAACCACCAATACAAATTATTAATCAACAAATTTTTGACTAAACTCATTTCTAACCTGCGTACAATCCATTTAAAATATGATTATACATACATAATATAAAAAATTCAACTGGTGAAAATGACAGTTGACTATAAACAGCCTCTTAATTACAAAAAATGGCCACTTCACGACACTCCATATTTTGATGCAGATTTCCTGCAAATATAAAAACAAATATGTCTTGCATGCAAAAACATCATTTTCGATAATTAAAAACAACAGAGTAAAGGATATGTATTAAAAAAAGGTCCATGAAGTTGAAATAAAAATTTCTAACTGAAAATGATTTTGTTTACTCAATTTTCACGATTTCACTTATATAATTGCATTTACACTGCAGGGGAAAAGGAGGATAGTTCTTTATTTCCCTTTCTACTGGACCTATTGATAAAATTCAAAATGTGTTTTTCATGTCTCGATAGTGTGACTTGGGATATATATTAGATTTATATATACAGCATTATTCTAACATGGATATTTTAACACAAAAACAGTTTTGTCTGAAATAACATATTGTTTTCCATATTTCGATTCTACGACTCAAATTATACATAGATATTAAATTTTGTAATTTTTGGTGAGAAATTCATGGAGAAATTTAAGAATTTACCTTGGAGAATTCTTTTCAGTTTGGGCCACGAATAATTTAGTTGGCGGAGTTCTTTATTTATTTACTTACTTTCCTTTTTACTTCCTTATACGAAGTAAAAAGGAAGTATCGTAATCGCGAAAAGTTTCAGGCAGCATATTTCAACGAAAATATCCATTTTGACCGCTATCGAATGCAATTTAATGATGTTTTTGCGTGATATCTGTACGTAAGGACAGAATAAAAGACTCGTTTCCCCTCCTCCAAAAAAAAATTATAAAATGCTGCTTTCAAAATTAATTCTGAAGAGAATTTTTCGTGGCGTCTGTACGAACGTATCTCGCATAACTCAAAAATGAGTAGCCTCAGAACGTTGAAATTTTGTATATAGGACTGCTATAACATGTAGATGCACACCTCGTATTTTGGTTGCAATCAGCCGCACCAAACGTATATAAATATATTTATATATATATCCACTCTGTTACCCCCGGCTCAGTGATCTCCAGTTTCTTTACCCCTTATATTTTTGTAAATTGTACATTTTTTGCTTTAAAAATGATTGAATTATGTTGTTTTTATCTTCTGGTTAAGGTTTTTATGGCTTTAGTAAATGTGTATGCAATATTTTTAGAAGTACCAAAAATTTTAAAGTTGTTTAAATGTTGCTAAGCCTTTTTTTTTTGGATAGCGGCCATTGATTGTTTACATTTGAAATAGCAGACTAGTGGATTTGTTGCCAATCTAGAGGAAATTAGCTTCTCTAGTACACAGACAATGCCTTCATTTATTGCCAGTTAAATCATGCTTAATGCTTTCTGGAATTTTTTCAAGGAAATAAGTGTTTACGATTTACTTCGTAATTTTTAATATAGATATTTTGAGTTTTTATGTATTTTTTTTTTGCCTTGTCGCGAAGTGAGAACTGAATTAATTGAATGAGAAATACTCAATCATTCTGTGAAAAAACTGTTTCTTTTTGTTTTGTTTGCTTAATTTCTTTTATACATCATTCTAGCTTTATTATAGTATTTGAATAGAACATGTGGCAAACGATTAGATATTCTATTCTTTAAATGATATAATTTTGTGCATTGAGTTATAATATGAATGAAATATAATACTGTTAAGTGAATCTAGCGCCAAAGTGTCGCTATGGTGAACAAATACTAGAGTGAATTTTAAAGAATGCATTTATTTTATTGTGGTTCATGCACTGTCGGTGAAGTAGATTTAATTCAATCCAATAAGTTTAAATGAAATGCAAGAAACAATGCGTATAATTTAATATTCTCTACAAGGAAGTCATGTGGTGTACACATCAGATTTTGTTTTTTCCATTGATGTACGAGAGGAAAAAAAGGTCCATTTTTTCAAATAATTTTAACGAAGTGCGCAAACCACATTTTTGTTATTATCGCTTATACAGGGCTCGTACACATGGAAATTAAGTACTTTTAAGGATTTTTAAGAACCATTAATGAAAAAAATTAAGGACCTATGAGCAAATGGGAACTGAATAAATTTAATTAAAAATTTATTCTTGCCTGAATTTCACTTTTGTAATATCATCCTAAAAAATAGATCCCTAAGTAGTATGCATTATTACTAAACATATTAATGAACATAATTATTAATAAGTTTGAAAATAAAATAAACTCCATGCAGTTTACCAAGTAGCATTAAATATTTTACATTTATAATGGGTTGGACATATTTGAAAGAAGATATGTGACATTTACGTTTTACTAACAGTTAGCTTTATGTTGATTTTTTTGTGTCTCATTTTGTCACATACTTGGTCAGTCTAGAGGAGAGGTTCTCAAACAGTGGTACGCAAGAAAAAACTAGGTGGTACACAAAAAAGCAAAGTATTTTGAGCTATTTATTTCAAAAATTAAAACCCTAACATCCTGATAGAGTTTTTTCTCTAACACTCGTAAATTTATGCGACCTGAGCTTTGTTCAAGATTCGTGGTGGAGCAGTACTTTGTAGTAGTGATACTAAAGGTTTTCAATTTTTGTTTAGATGGTACACATTAGTCAAAAGGTTGAGAACCGCTGGTCTAGAGGTTTAGTAAATAGCAGGTAGATTTTATGTCAAATGGCATATGTTAAAATGAGAAGCAAGATCATAATCAGCATCATTCATAACCTAAAAGATTGGATGTTATCACCGCTGCTGCTTGTCTGGAGAGAGACCTACTGATTAGAACTAACCTGAAAGGCCTGATGTAGGCACGGTTGGCAAGTGTTGAAAGTTAGTCAGGCTCTGTTTGATGTAGTTAGTGTCATAGCTTTGTGTAGAGTTCCAGGGGTTGTAACCCAGTTAATATACTTTCAGATTCCAATACATTAAAGCACCAGGAGTGATAAGTTGTTTTGTATTATTTTAAGTCTTACTAGATGCAAAGAATAAGTTATACTTGTATTTCTACATTGTGTTTTATCTTGTGATTACAGTGAGTATTAATGAAAGGCAATAACTCGCTTTAATATGTAAAGATGTAAGCAGTTAGTTATAAATAATTAAATTAGGTAAATAGTTAACCTTATTCATTATGGATTTACATGGCCACTATTAAATTTTTTTAACAGTATTTGTTAAAAAAGGACTATTAAAATCAAAATCTAATAAAATTCACAGTTTAAAATGCATGTAATTTACGACACTGATTCTTAAAGGATATTAGAGTAATTACACATTGAAAGCTACAAAACATTTATGTTTTGTAACAACAACACTCAACAAAATATTTATTCGTCATTTTAAATTGAAGCCTTCCCAAACATTTTGGCTAGTTTATACCGGTTTCCTTATCTTTAAGCATCTTTTCTAACAATAATTAGAGATTTGTCTCAATATGCAAACCAATGCTCTCGCTAGTTTCTGCATGCTTTATCTCCTAACTTGTCAACCTCTCCACAATGTACCTATGAGGGTTTATTTGATCTGGTAAAAGTTAAACAGTCCAAAGCCCCCAATAGACATGAAGCAAATTATCACTACGTCTGAAAGTAACTACAATATCAAACAAAGGTTTAAATAAGCCTCTTATTCAAAAAGAACTTAGAGCAAACATAAAGGCATGTTCTGATGCTTCAATTACATCTCACGGTGACGTAATTAAACAAGAACAGTCAAATTCAAACTAAAAATGTGGACTAGTGGTCAAAGATTACAAACTTAATTTTAATTTAATCAGGCTCAGCAATTCTATCATATGAGGAAACAGAAATGGAAAATTATAGTAAAGGCTGAAATCATAAACAATTGTGTAATTTACATAATAATAACTGCACATAATCTTTGAAGAATAATTTTATGTATTCAGTTTCTTTCTTCAGCATGTTTCCTTTTCATTTTAGAATTTTTTGATTTAATTCAGGATTTCTGATTCTGTTTTTCTAAAAAACACTAAATGCATTTAGAATGTATAGAAAAAAGTGACTAATTTAATTTCTTTAGTAATATGGAAAATTCAGAAGAAATATTGAAATATATATGGTAAAGGCCTGTTACAGAAGCTGGTGTGGCAGAATTTTTAGAATTTAGTGACACACCAAACAACAAAATAAATCAAGAAATGGCAAAACTTTTAGAAATTTAGAGCAGGCATTGGAAGCAGAATTTAGAAAGGCACTATGCAGTTGAATTTAGGATCCACAGAGATTGCATCAGATGGGAAAATGCTTAGTGCCAGCTCTGTGTATGAGTTTTCAATTTCTTTATTAATTAAAAAAAAAAAACACTTTCTATAATGCCTGCCCAAGTGATAAGATTAGAAGCATTTTTGATATTTTCCATGCTTGTGTCTAGTGAAAAGTAGAGAAAATAAAGGGAAGATAAACATGTTAAGAAAAAGATTCTAGTATCAGGAGTAAAACATTCAAATATTGTGTCTTCATGTTCTTCCAGATGCTCTCCAAAAGGCGTATAGGAACAAAAGCTGAATATTCAAATATTATGTTTTCACTGTTCTTCCAAAAATTCTCCAAAAACTAAGAAATTCATTGCAAACTTTCTGTAAAATACATTCATTATGCGTTGATACAATGGAGACATTTTTCATTTTCTCCCATATTTATCGAATCTTCTAGAATCGTGGGTCTATAAATCTTGCCTTCAAATCTTTCTAAATTTTCCAAGCTGCAATGTCAAAAATACTACAGAAAAATTATCCCAACCAATTCTGTAACAGAAAAAAGCCAGAAATATTTTGGAAAACAAAAAAGGAGGGAAAAAGTCCAAAATTAATTTTATCGAGAAAACTGATTCATATTCTGAGAATTTTGAATATTCTGAGACAATTACATGGGAAATACGCTTACTATGAAAAAATTAAAAACAAGATATCTTTAATTAATTACATAGTTAATTTTGTTTTTGCTGAGAGATGTTTCGTAAATTATGCTTTATAGCATTATACTTTATTTTTCAGATACAAAATATTGTATAATAAGTTGCCAAAATGAAACTTTATAATATGACAGCAAAAAATAAAAACGTTTTATTTTAATGTTATTTTTTAAATATAATTCCAATATATTACCATAAAATTTATCAAAGTTACGACATTTTAAAAAAATCATTGAACAATTCTCAGATTTGGGAATTAAAAATTGTCTATAGAAACTGATCTTAAAATCGCCAAAATGTTGATAAGTCGCCAAATTTAGAACCGTTTAATAAAAGAATTCACATCCCCAAAAGCGAAAATTGTTAAGAGCTCTTTATTACAAACAATGAGTTTCGAAATGCTTATGTTTCACTTCTTGCTTAGAAACTCGAGTTTCCCATCATATATATTAGAAATAGAAACAAATTAATATCCATGAACCCATTCAAATGTTAACCATATACGTCAGTGAATCACCAAAAATATTCCTCTAAAATGCTAATTCACATTCAAAATGGTAGTCGTAAAAACAGACAGAAATTTCAGATGATTAAATTTACAGACCTTCTTCTTCTTCTACTTACTTAATTACTTAACCAAAAGGCCAAAATTTCCTTAAAAGTTTCCTTAAAAGTCCTTAATTTTGGCCAGGCCAAAAGGACAAAAAATCGGTTACAAAAAAATTAAGGAGTTTTAAGCACTCTTAAGGACCGTATGAACCGTTATACTAAATACGCCAAATTTCAAAACACGCCAAGATATAAATTCATGTATAATTCATCGTAAGAAATTTTGAATAAAAAAAGTCTAATTTTTTGCCCATATGCTTAAAAATACATCTACTTTAAAATGATGTTACAAATTTTGTAGGTTATAATACAAATAATGAAAACTTTATAAAAAATATTTTAAAATGCAATTTTTAAAATAAAAAAAATGTGTGAATTATATTTGGATTAAGCCTAAATTTTGAATTCTGGAAGGAATCAAGTAAATTTAATAAAAAAGAGATATTAATAAATATATATCAAATTCAATTAACATTGAGGAGCTAATATTTTGAGAGCTAATTTTTAAAAATCTACTGATGCGATTTTTACAAAACTTGGCAGTTTGGCATAATTTGAGTCATAGAATTGAAATATGGAAAAAAATTGGCATGTCATTTCAGAAAAAGTCCGATTTTGTGTCAAAATACTTATATTAAAACAATGCTATCTATAAATTTTATACATATCCTAAGTTGCGCTTTCGAGACATGAAGAACATAAGTTGAATTTCGTCAATCGGCCCATTAGAATGGAAGATATAGAACTGTCCTGTTTTTTTGCGCAGGCTACACTCCCCCCCCCAAAAAAAATAATTACTTCTATCAAGCAAAGCAATCTTATAAAAAATTAAAGATACAAATTTTTTTTTATTTCAGCATATTTTAGCATTTAAATATAAAGTATCATCATTATACACAAATCTAATAAAAATAATTCATTATATGTTGCATGTTTAAAATTAATCCACTTTCGGTAATTAGTTATAATTCTGAAAACAGAAATGCAGTCTTGTAAAACAATTTTTATTATATATTAATAAACAGTTAGTTATTAAAATTATTTTAGCTATAATAATGACATAACTCTTTAAATTGCCAAATCTACATTAATTTGCCAAATCTTTTCATTCCAGAATAAGCCAAATTCTCTGCATAATAAATATTATTTACATAAATGTACATTAATACCTTAAGGTAATACTGAATGTAGCTACTAGAGCTTCACAATCAAGAGAAAAATTTTCCCATGTTTTTGATGTAGGATAGAAAGAATCCTTTTTCTTCGGAGAATTAGTTTTGGCATTATCACTTTTACTATCCTTTGGTAAATCTGCAAAATAATATTATACGTAATTAAAAATAATCAATTCAAAATTGAAAATACATTGTAAACATCATGCATAATAACAGCGAATATAGCAATACTATTAAAAGCAGATGATTTGATATAATGTGCAAATTGCAAAGGTATTCAGAAAGTAATTGTACAGTGCAGTGTAGACAAAATTTTGGAATGAAATGATAATTTCTTGTTTTTTTTCTTCTATGACATTGTTAACTCATTCGACTTCCATTAGGATAATGTTAGTCCCAGACAGTGTTACTGTGGATAGAATTTTCCGCTCACTTGATTGAGCGATAGTGGCAGTACATGTCTTGTCAACAAGGTGCTAATGGTTGAGCTGCAAAGATTCTAGATAGAACATGTTTCTCATAATAATGAGAAATTCCGGATATTGGGGAAAGAATGTTTATAAAAAATTTTCATATGTGAAGGTGCCTAACTGTAATAGTGTGCAAAATTGTGAAACTTCATAAAACAGACAGTGTTGTAGATACTCATGAATATAATAAACCTCAGAACTGTCAGTGTGGGAGATCAGCAAAATCATATTAGAAAGTCCAAAGAAATCTGTAAGCGGAAAATCTCAGCATCATATGTGGCAAAGAGAACACAACACAACATTCAGTAAAGAAAGTCTATTTTTCTCCATACAAAGTACTCACAGTGGAATAGTTAATTGAAGAGGATCATGGGGCCCCATGTTGATTACTATAATTGATTTCACACCTCTTCTCATTATGCTGGCTCTATCTGTGATGCAGGCTTTTTTTGCCAACAAAAGGTAATTTCATCTTTCTAGACAGATTAACAACCAACCTTGATGAACAGAAGAAAATTCCATGGTTCAGAAGATAACAGTATAGTGTGACTGTATAGGCCGACGCTAGGTATTTTTACCACCCAGTGCAATCTCTACGTATCCTCTATTCTTTTGCCTTGCACCTCTCTAAACTAAAAACAGTGTGTGCCCCAAAATTCTGCTGTATAGTGCCTCACCTAAAATCTAAAATTTTACTCTTTGTTTTTCCTCTAAATTCTAACAATTTTGCCACCCGATGCAACCACGGTGGCTCAAAGTGTGCCTCAAATAGGCAGATTGTTCTTGCGGAAATTTTCTTTCAAGTTACTGCACTGAAATTCTAGAATTCTTCATGGTTCAAATCAACGAGTTTATGATTTTGGAGGTCTAATTACAACAAGAGAGAACAACTGCAAATACTGCTCATGCCTCATGGTATTTCTTGGAATATTTCCTTGGTGAATGCACAATCTCCCATGGAATCTGGCATGCTGTGTCTTCAGACCTCACTGCTTTTAATTTTTATTTCACTGATTTAAGTGAACGGACAGATACACCAAAAACAATCCTCAGATCTTGTTAAAGTTGTAAATAGCCATTACTCAACGCATTGAATAGATAACTTCAACAACCTTAGTAAAACATTTAAAACTATGCACCATCCCATGCAGATATGTTTTTTGGCAGCAGAAGGGCATTTCCAACATCTTCTGTACCACTTTAAAATTCAAATTTCACTCTTCTATCATTTCCACTGTATAGGTACTTTTTGGACGCTTTATTTAAATTTTATTTAAACTTTCCACAAAATGTCTTGAGAATGATTTTATTACCAACAGTTAGTTAGTTAGTTCTAAGCACTGGCCCCCAACCCACCTAGCAGGGGAAACCTGCCATACGGCTACGAGGGAACAGGCCAAGCCACAAAAGCATAAAAAAAAAAAAAAAAAAAAAAAAAAAAAAAAAAAAGTAAAATAGATACATACATTCCAAGCACTCCCGGTGAATTAGTATATAAATGCGCCGTTTCCATTTCTGCCATTTTTTCTGAAGTTTAAAATCTTTATAAGTTTTACTTTCAATTAGTTATTATTATTCAAATCTTTATATTATCAAAATTCATCTTAAATTTATAAGTTACCTCAATTATTTCTGTTTTCAGTAAGATTTTCTGCTTTGTTATATCTCGATACCAATAGTCTTCTTATTCTCATTCACCGTTTGCATAATATCTCTTGCAAATTTTCTAAACAATTTATAATTACTAAATAAATCCTCAAACTTTGCAAATTTATATTTTTCTCTCACACTTCCAGTCAGGCAACAGTCCTCAATGAAATGCTTGGAATCGCCGAATTTATTACAAACTTTACATATATCATTTTCCTGGAGGTGGAACCTTTATAAGTAAGCAGATTACCAACAGTTATGTACTATTCTTATTACTGCTAATAATAATAATACAAGTAAAAAACAGAATTAAGTAACATTAATAATATAAGAGTTACCATAAAAAGATGGACATATACAATATAAATTACTTCATTATGTCACTAGATTTTTGAGACTATATAATTTTTTGCCTTGCTGTTTCATTTCAAAATAATACTTTGGCATTGGAAATTGTGTTGGGTTTAAACTATATAGGCCATTTTTACAAGGAATTTTTCAATACATTAGACATTTGTTCCAGATTTATGACAGTTTAAAAAACTGAAGAATTATACAAACAACAAGTATATATATATAAAGAAAGAAAATTTTGGATATGCCACAAATATAACCATTCTACCATAAAAAGATAGACATATACAATATAAATTACTTCATTATGTCACTAGATTTTTGATCATTTTTTGAATTGCTGTTTCATTTCAAAATAATACTTTGACATTGGAAATTGTGAAAGAAAGAAAATTTTGAATATGTCACAAATATAAAATATATATAGATGCTATATTGCTTCACCATTTATCTCCGTACAATATACATTAATTATTATAAAAGTTTTCATTTTTATCTCTGTTGTTAACAGCATACATATAATGTCACAATGTTTTGTAACATTATCAGAAAATGCTGAATGAAAACAGATGATATATCCACATATCAATGAATACGTCATTATTCTTGCATACAGGAAATGTAAATGTAGGTATACAATTAAAACGGAAGTCTTAATAAAAGTGCATGAACTTTTTGAATGCAAGAAAATAAATAATATACATAATTTAAGGTCATCCTACAAACAAATGTCGCAAACTTAAATACATAGTGCAGAATTCATAGATAAAGATCCCAAAGATGGAGCTACCAGCTTTGCCCTCTTGTCCCGTAAGGGTGACTTTGTGACTAGACAGGACAGTTTCTCTCTGGTAGCCATCAATGAAGCATTAAAGTAACTCACTTATGCCATGTGACACTGGCTGACTTTTAAACTAGCATACCTGCTACCACTGTGGAATTCTGCCTATGATTTTTCTTTGATTGTGTTGAATGTATTGCATGTTATGTTTATCATTGTTATTTGTGTGCGTGTGCTAAGCTAATATATTTTTCTAATCTAATTAAATTAGCAGGTTTAAAACCAGGCATATCATCTTCATCCCTGCATTAACGCATACCTCTGTGGAGTGGTGACCCCACTAATCTCAAATAAGTTAAGATGTGATGTTGGTGAACCAGATTCTTTAAACAAGTGCATGTTGAAATTCTAATTGCATCCTGAATTTCCATACCTAAAATGTGCTGTGAACTGCAAAAACCATCTTTCAATCCTCTGAGCATTATGGGTTTAGCCCCAAAATTTCAAAGTTCCTCAAAACATCATAAATAAGTGATATTTTCTTGATTTTAATTAAAAAATGACTCTTTCATTTTGTACCTTGATTCCTTTTCTTCCAATATACAACCAAACTGAAATCAGATACATTAAAAGCTAGCAGAAATTTTCATGTATAATGAATGTGGAAGTCAACCTTCTGTACGGAATTTTCCGGCCTTAACGCTGAGAGGGTTAAACAGAATAGCATTTGAATCCATCATTATTTTATCAAAGTATGCTTAAAGCATACAAAAACATGTGCTCCATACAAAAAATCAGAGATCTGTATATAAAATCCAAGATATGCACTACATATAAAAAAAATTGATAATCGCATCCAGGAATCTGGGTTTCCAAAAAACTCACACAAGATTTTTCCATGCTAAATCACATCGTAAAATGGAATTGTTCCCACGTCAAATGCCAACATTCCAAAATCACATGGTACATGCATAATCCTTTGTAAAATATCCATATGTTGTTCGAGCGATTCGACCATGTTCATACAGATATTATCCATTCTCTACCTCCATTTCCTCACCTCTATGCTGACAAATTTACTCAATGGCCTGAAATTTTTCGTGTACTGGCCACCTCTGCTGAATCTGTGGCTCAACAATTCATCTCTGGTTAGATTACACAATTTGGTGTATAGGGTTGGCAAGAAAATAATTTCATTTTTTTAGTGTGATATAAAAATTAATTTTTTCCATATAAAAAATGAACTTTAATGAGCCAAATATATCCCAATTTGTTTGATGACTTTTTGCCAACTTTCTGCTAACTTCATAGTTCCATGCTGATAGAACTTCTGGTCTTTGTGAGCAAAAACTCAACCAACTGCGATTCGAGGTCATTTTTATTACCAAAATTTTTACCATTAAGAAATTTTGTAAACTTCAAAATAAATGATAATCCGATGGTGCAAGGTCGGGGCTATATAAAGGATGCGATATCACTTTCGAATCAAGCTCCAATTATCCTTGCATTATCATGGCAGAAGTAAATTCCTTTGTCATTTGCCAGTTCTGGCCTTTTATCTTTGATTGCTTCCTCCAGTTTCATAAGTTGTTGGCACTAAACATCTGAGCTGATCATTTGACTACCTGGAAGGAACTCAAAATACACAACACCTTTGTAATCCCACCAAACTAACAGCATAATCTTTTTCTGATGCAATTCAGCTTTCAATATAAGTTGTGCTGATTCATCATTTTGGCAACGATCTTTTCCAATAAATGTTACTATAGACAATCCATTTTTTATCACCAGTGACTATTCGTTTTAAAAAAAGGGTCAATTCCATTGCATTTGAAATGTGTATTGCAAATATTCTGTGAAAATCAATTTCTTTCAGTTCCCAAATATTGGCACCCAAATATTGACCTTCTTAAACAAGACAGCTTAAGTGATTTTCATTTGTTATGTGCGACACATTTAAGCTTTTTGTAACATCTTGAACAGATATGTGATGATCCCAATTCAATTGTGGCTTTAATTTCATCATTATCAACTTCATAAGGTCAGCCAGAACATTGGTCACTTTCAAGTAAAAAATCTCCAGCACGAAAATTTTTAAGCCGATTCCAACGCATGCTTTCTGTTAAACACTCAATACCATAAATGTCACACAACTCTTTGTCACCTTTATGAAGGCACCTTCTTGCCTTTATGAAAATAAAAAGTAAAATATCTTGAAAATGTTTATTTTTGCACCCCATGCTAAAATTGACCGTAAACTAACAGTAGCAAAGAAAAATACACGGAATTTGTTTCTATAGCAATAACAGTAGCAAAGAAAAATACACAGAATTCATTTCTATAGCAACCTAAAAGTATCAGCTGCCAAGTCTCAAAAGAAAAAAAAAAAAAAAAAATTACAGACTGACAGAAGAATAACAAAACAAATATAATGCTATCGATTTGTGCAAATTTAAAATTATTTTCTTTCCAACCCAATACTATCAATCATGACAAATGATCAAGATCAACAATGTCCTATCAAAGATCAAAAGTTCCAGTCCTAACTTTTTCTCTTCTCAATATCTATTTGGCAAATATCACTGAACTGACATGATGCTACTATATTTACTACAAAACTGGCTTCATGCCACAACTTTGTTGCTAATGACCTGGCCCCAGCAGCCCTTAAGTGTCATAATAACACTTGCAGACGACTTCAAAACTTCTCATCTCTGTTTATCAGAAGTCAACATTTTTGTTTATTTGACGAGCAATTTTGATTCTTGCTCATCTCGTTTTCACGGTTTCCACCATTAATGTGGCAACCCGTTGTAGAGGATTAAGAACTAAAATCCAGTTGTCAATGAATTCTTGTTTCGGTCTAACAGGCCGCTTCAACTTTTGGAAACCTTAGTTAGGCGCGTATTCATCAATCCAGAAAAAGGATTCATCATACCTTTGGAACTTAGGAAGGAATGCTGGTAAACTCTTGTGCATGCAGCACAGATCCGACGATGGCATAAGTGAAGAAGGGTATTTTTGGACTCTTACAGGGACAGCCCCTCTCGACAGCCATCAGTGAAGCATTGAAGTACCTGAATGTGGCATGATAACGTCCCGTATCCAATGCCACGCCACGTATCATGCCCATCATACTTACTAGCACTGTGGAATTTCACATATGACTCTGCTTTAATTGTGTTCAATGTCTGGTATGTCACCATTTCTTGTATTGTGTATATGTGTTAAAAAATGTTTTTCTTTAGTCTATAAAGTAACTGCATGAAACACCTGCAAATATATATCTTCATCTCATGCCATGAAACAGGTGTCTCTATGGGCCGAATGGAAATTGGTCTATAACTCATATATATTAGAGGAATATTGTTATCTTCATGTAATAGGTTTTCAATCTCCTTCAAAAAATTGCTTCTTCTTTAATTGAACATGCCAACTTTTTTTTATATTTCGATTTATGATATCAATTAGTCTAATACAAAAGAACTTTCTTGGATTTTTTCCATCAATACAAATTACTCATGAGAGAATTGTAAGGAAAATGCTAGTTTGCCACTGGGCTCCCTAATTTAACTGAGCCACAGAATAGGAGCATGTCAGAATCAATAAAGAAACCCTTAGTAAAATTACTTCCTGTGTGACCACATTTTATTTCTAAGGTCACAAATGGGATGAAATGGCATCCACTTTTTTATAGTTTGACTTTTTTTTGAAAGATCTGAACATTGTCATGAAAAGCACATCAAGAAGTACTGGACTCTTTGGAAAAGGATCTCAGCTCAACCACGTTGAGGGTTTCCAGAAATTTTTCAACGGACGCAAAGAGGGCTCTTATTCGTCCATGACAAATGCATCTTTCCTTAACCAAGGGACTGCCAGCTGAGTTATGAACAAAAAACATCGCAAGTGATAGAAATCCAGCCGCTATTCATCTGATCTAGTTATGTGTGACTCTTGGCTATTTTCTAATCTAAAAAAACTTAACTTAAGTGTAGACGATTTTATGCTGTAGATGAAGTGCTTGGAGGATATAAAAATGCTTTTTCTCAGTGATTCAAAAACCTATGCTTCGATTTAATTTCAGAGTGAAGCCTTGTAAATATTGATACTAGAATTTTTGACATTTGTCATCTTTTACTTAAAAACATATGTGGAGGGGGGGAGGGCAGTACCGCTGAATCTTAGAGCTTATGAAAATTTATATCAAGGGACCCCCATCATTGCAAAGTATTCCTTCCAATTTACTGATTAGAATATATTTTTAAATATTTTGAAGTTTTTCCCCACATTTAAGGTGCTTCCCATATATTCCCAAAATCGTTTAAGCTTGCATCTACCATCATAGTCGTTTAAGGATCTAATATAGTAATCTTTTAATTTAGATTTCAGTCCAGAATTTATATATATATATATGGTTCAAAGTATGAAGGATCACCACAAATTCCGTTTCGCCACACTGTTCCATTTTCAGCCGACTATAGCCTGATGCAGTTTTGCAGTCAAGCACCCAATTCTCCTTTCTCTATTGAGTTCTTCTGCCAAAAAACATTTACTTTTAAATGTCTCAAAACAACACAACAAAATCTTGTACTTATTATTTGATCTAATAGGACGAATTCTTGGTACTAAATTTCCTTCATTAGGGAAAAAATATCAATAGTTTCTACTAATAGATAAAATTTTCTTGGCCTCATTGATATTAGAAATTTGAATTCCCCACTGACAAACCTGTAGCTTTAAGTTACAGAGATAGGGGAGATCCCTGTTCTCTGTCATGACCAAAGAAGGCTTTCAGGATAAATCATACAGCAGTAAATGCATTCCAATTAAAAGCCTTCCAAACAAGTAATTCAAACATGATGCAAGTATTATGATCAGTACATAAATGCAAGGGAAATCTAAACAGGATACACAAGAAATTAGTTTTCAAAATATTGTCTCCCATGCCTGGTTTCTTTTTGATAATCTTAATATGTTACATGTTCAGGTTCATATAATTTCTGACTGGGAAATAAATAGCAAATATTTGCTGGTACACCTGATGTTCTTTGATTAATTAATGAATTAATTTTTAGTTTTTCATTCATGTTTAGAAGAGCGTAAAAACTTCTAAAAGATATTTTGACATACTGATAATTACAGAAATATTAAAAAGCTTACATAACATTACAATGGAGAAAGAAAAACACACAGACAAAAAAATTTCATAACACAGATGTTTGCAGAAATATGAAATATTACAATCTATAAATAAACAAATATTAGGGATTTTAAAAACAAGTATTTAGATTGACGCAAATAAATTTAGGTTGAAGCAATAATTACCCAATACAAAGACAACAATTTATTATTTAATACATGCTAGACAAATTGACGTCTTGAATATATTATTTAATATATATTATTAAAATATATTATTTAATGCAAATGCTATACAATGAAATTTTAAATACGGTATAAATTAACAAGAATGTATAAATGTTTAAAACGTATAAATGTGAAACTGATACTCACCACCAAAAAGATTTCTGTTGTGCTTTGAATGAGTTGCTGGCCTCTCCTGAAAGAATATGGAACAGCATACAATAATAAATAAAATTAAAAAACAAAAACAACAAAAAACGAGTTAAGTGCATTGAGTACGTACATAAAATGTATACGGAATTATATTCATATATAATAGGCAGGAATAAAAAGTTATTTGAAACAGATAGAAAAATTTTAATACAACTCTTTGCAGAGGCAGCCCTCAACTTTTGCACATAACTGGTTTCTGAAACTGTGTGAAAATGTTGAATGTTTGAAAGTAGAAGGATGTTAAAAAAATAAAAATTACCATAATTTTACGCGTATAGTCCGCAGACTATCTGTGTTTAAAATGCGAATTTTTGAAGTTGCAGACTATCCAACAGTGTGGATAATACGCTGGTTGTTCACGGTTAAAATCATTGAAATTTAAAAAACACGCTGTCGTGAACTGCCGATGATCAAATATAAAAAAATCTGATGTGTACACCACATGACTTCCTTGTACGGAATATTAAATTATACGCATTTTTTCTCGCATTTCATTTAAACTTATTGGATTGAATTAAACTACTTCGCCGACTGCGCATAAACACAATGAATAAATGCATTTTAAAATTCACTCTAGTATTTGTTTACCATGCGACACTCCGGCCCTAATTCACTTACAGTATTAATAATTAAGACAGTTACTTAATAATAATCAATGAAAACTAAGTAACTGCTATATATCCAATAATAATGTAAGAGTTAACTTATATATTTCTTTCATATTACAGTCAAAAGGCTTTAATCCGGACTCATCGGGACTTCGGTGATTCCGGATTATCGATCATCAGTTTAAATCTGGTAATATGGCATGCAGAAATTATTAAATTAAAAATATGAAACCGTAATTTATAAAATAATGAGCAATTATGATCTAAAAGGTATCAAAATTTACAAAAAACAAAAAAAAAAAAAAAAAAAAAGCTTAATATTTATTTGTTTACTTTATTAAACATTTCTTTCAACGCGCGCATGCGTAAAGCATACCTTACGCATAGCCGAAATTAGAAATTGCAACCAGAAAACTATTTGATTTGTATTCGTGATATTTATAATGACGAGGAATTTGATTTAAATCATATCAAAGACGGAGTACATCGAGATGAAATACTACATTTAGTAAGGAATTATAAGCCGAATAAAATAAAAACATCTGCCCTGAAGATAACGATAGTGTTGACAGATCAACTTCCAGTTCATTGCGCGCGACGCCCCCCCCCCCCCCCCCCGCAGAGCAGCGTGAAATTGATAAACAGATTTCGGAACGGTTAGATAAACAAAGGATATGCCTTTATCCATTTTTTGTTTGATGGACATCGAAACATACTTTCGTTTTCTAGATCCTTTCGGAGCTCCAGCATCGGAAATTCTATTTGACATAATCGAAAGTTCAAGCTTACTTTTATAAAATTGCTCTTACAGTCTGCAAAAATAATAAGCCGGATCCAATTTGAAGATTAAGGAACAACGCAATCATCAACATTAACTGAAATAGATAATTAGATAATTTTAGCTTATACCGTCCGTTATACATTAAACGCGCACGCGAAAACATATTCTGCGCTTACGCAGACCCATATGCGCAATCGTAAAGGTCTTACGCGCACGCTAAAACGCCTGTATGCGCATGCGTCAAAGCGGCATGCGCAGAAAGTTTTTAGCTTTGAGGTCCGAATTATAGATCATTCCGGATTATGGGTGTCCGAATTAACGACTTTTGACTGTATAACTTATAATGCACAAAATTTATATCATTTAAAGAATAGAATTATCTAATCATTGCCACATGTTCTATTCAAATACTATAATAAAGCAAGAATGATGTATAAAAGAAATTAAGCAAACAAAAAAAAAAAGAAACAGTTTTTCACAGACGATTGAGTATTTCTCATTTAATTAATTCAGTTCTCACTTCGCGAGAAGGCAAAAATACATAAAAACTCAAAATATCTATATTAAAAATTATGAAGTAAATCTTAAACACTTATTTCCTCGAAAAAATTCCAGGAAGGATTAAGCATGATTTAATTGGCAATAATAAATGAAGGCGTTATCTTTGTTGTTGCGAAGCTAAGTTTCTCTAGATTGGCAACAAATCCACTAGTCCGCTGTTTAAAATGTAAACAATCAATGGCCGCCATAAAAAAAAAAGGATTAGCGGCACTTAAACAACTTTAAAATTGTTGATACTTCTAAAAATATTGCATACACATTTACTAAAGCCATAAAAACCTTAACCAGAAGATAAAAACAACATAATTCAATCATTTTTAAAGCAAAAAATGTACAATTTACAAACATATAAGGGTAAAGAAACTGAGATCAATGAGCCGGGTAACAGAGTGGATATATATATAAATATATTTATATACGTTTGGTGCGGCTGATTGCAACCAAAATACGAGGTGCATATCTATATGTTATAGCAGTCCTATATACAAAATTTCAACGTTCTGAGGCTACTCATTTTTGAGTTATGCGAGATACGCACGTACGTACGTACGTTCGGACAGACGCCACGAAAAATTCTCTTCAGAATTAATTTTAAAGCAGTTTTATAATTTTTTTGAAGGAAAAGAGTATTTTATTCTGTCCTTACCTACAGATATCACGCAAAAACATCATTAAAGCATTCGAAGCGGTCAAAATGGATATTTTGTTGAAATATGCTGCCTGAAACTTTTCGCGATTACAAATACTTCCTTTTTACTTCGTACAAGGAAGTAAAAAGCGCAAGATTCCAAGAAAACATTCGTATGTATCGTATCGATAGTAAACCATAGAGCATAGTGCAGAACGAATGAGTAGTAGCAAGTAGAGCTCCTAAAATCCAGGCTGGCGCATCAAGCGATGCCGGGATATGAGCACTCACTTAGCGCAACCAGAGTCTTGTATCCCAGTATCCTTCGCACTGCTTTAGCGCAACTGCCAGGAGGGGGGGAAAAGTAGTTGATGCGTCAAGCGTTTTTGCGTTTTAGGAGCCTTAGTAGCAAGTACCTGGAGTACGAAAAAAAAAACGCGTGATTCGTTTACTTATAGCGTGGTTTGGCAACACCGAGTGAGTGGGGTCAAAGGTCACATTTCGTTACCACTTATCACGAGGATAGCACAGTATTTTGCCTTTCATCTTCAATAATGTTGATGAAACATTGGCAGAGTTTTACTGCTGAGTTTAAACTCAAGGTAGTTGAGAAAGCTGAAAAAGATGGAAATAGAGAAGCGGGCCGCTATTTTGAAGTGGATGAGAAAGCGGTGAGAAATTGGTGCAAACAAAAGGATGTGTTAAAAAGCATAGGAAGAAAGTGATCCAATCAGCACGGAAAAGTAAAATGGACAGCTTTAGAGGAAAATTTACTGAGATGGGTTCTCGACCAAAGAAATGCCGGGACGCTCCATTTCAATAGTTAAAATTTGTCTCCGATCAACAGTTAAAATCCGTCTCCGAGCAAAGTCCATGGCAGAAGAGATGCAGATAACGGATTTCAAGGGAGGAATAAATTGGGTTTACCGCTTCATGCGTCGTAAAAACTTGAGAGTTCGCAGCAGAACGACAATGTGTCAGGCTGTTCCGGACGACGTAGATGAAAAAAAAAAGCTTCTTTCCTTCAGTTTACAAGGAAAGTTATTGCAGAAGGGAAGTATTCCCTAAAAAATATTATAAATATGGACGAAGTTCCATTAACATTTGATTGCCCACCGAATCGCACCGTCGATACTTGTGGAGTGAAAACAATATCAATAACAACAACTGGTCAAGAAAAGAATTCCCAGCACACCCAATTCACAGTGATGCTCGCCTGCTGTGCTGACGGCACAAAGTTGAAGCCGCTCTTAATCTTTAAGAGAAAAACAATTCCCAAGGAAAATTTTCCTCGAAGCATCGTAATACGATGCAATGAAAAGGGTTGGTGCAACGAGGACATTATGGTCAATTGGTTTCAAGAAGTTTGGAAGAAGAGAGAAGGTGCCTTTTTCAATTCCTTTCATCTTCAATAATGTTGATGAAACATTGGCAGAGTTTTACTGCTGAGTTTAAACTCAAGGTATTAGAAAGCTGAAAAAGATGGAAATCCATGAAGGGATGAGAAAGCACACTATATGGATTCCATGAGGGCACACATAAAAGACAGTGTAAAGGCGGAAGCTAAAAAAAAAAAAAAAAAAAAAAAAAAACATCGGTGCTGAACTTAGCATTATTCCAGGAGGTTTAACAAAAATCCTGCAACCTCTGGATATTAGCGTGAACAAAAGTTTCAAGTCCCACGTACGTGCTTGCTGGGAGATCTGGATGTCGGAAGGTTTACATACTTTTCACAAAAGGAGGAAATATGAGATGCGCTTCATACACTGAAGTTGCCGAATGGGTCGATAAATCCTGGAAAAGTGTTAAAGTGTCAACCATCCGATCGGGATTTATAAAAGCCAGGATTGTTAGTGAAAGCGAGGAAATCACTGACAGTGAAGATAGTGATGCTGAAAATGAACTTTCGGACACTCTTCCCGAAAATATATTAGAACTGTTTAATTCTGATACCGATGAATCGGACTTTGAAGGTTTTCGTGAATGTAGTAGAATGTGTGATTAATTAATATATGATTAATTAGTAAGCACTGTTTTTTATTTGTATTTAGCGTTTTATTTCTGAAGGTATATTAGTAAGTAAGTACTTTTTTCTATTCATACTTAGTTCTTTGTTTATAAAATACATTAATATTGCCGTATTAAAAAAACGTAATTTTGGACGTATAGCCCGCGGACTATCCGGTGGTGCATACTATCTGACGATTTTTGAAATTTTTTTATATAAAATCGTGTCTGCGGACTATACGTGCAAAATTACGGTAAAAGTTTTATTTTAATATATTTTATCATTAGTACACATAATTTAGTTAATGGGAGGTGTTAAAGGACTTTCAGGTGTTTTCCATACAAAGTTAGCCATACCAATAGCTAGTTGAATTCTACCCATCAGCTTCTTCTTCCTC